AAGAAAACCATCTCCAATCCTTTCTCTTTTTAAAATTTCATCAAACTTGAGTACAAATATGACTGTTTGGAATTTGGTGAAGCATTTGGTTCATCCTTGATTTGGAGGAAAATTGCCTCATCGTTGATTTGATTACAGATTTGATGAAATGCTTGGACCACATTTTAGCCAAATTTTTAATCAAATTTGAATTTGGTGAACTATTCGAGATGCTCTGACACCAGAAAATCAACTAAATTGGATTCATTGTTCTCAAAATATATTCAAAATCAGAACAAGCAACAACACCAGATATATACTCAGATCTGAAACTAACATCAACAATCTGTGCCATCGATGCAAATCAAGTCCGTGCGATAATTAGGGAAATTGAACAAAAATTGCTAGTTATACAAAGAAAAACACAATGAAAAGATCGAATTGCTAAGGCGTACCTTCGTCGTCTCGGTCGTCGTCCTTCTTCACGAGAGGTTGAGCCATTGAGAGATCGTCGAGACTGTAGAGATCTGTGAGGTTTTGATGGCGTTATCAGAAAATGAAAGCTCAATTTGGCTGAACGAGAGGGCAAATGCAGATCTCTGTCTAGATACATATACTGCTCTCGCTGTGTAAATTTGTCCCACCGGTTCGCAGCCCACCCGAACTTCGCCCGTGGCCGGGCATCGCCCGGTCTGGCTAGGCTTGTCTAAGCTCGGGTTTAAGCCTAGCCTGAAACCTTGAGACCCGGTTTGACCGGTAAGCCCAGCTTGAAATTCAATTTGCTCGGCCGAGGCCATAAAAAAATAAAATTTTAGTAAAAAAAGGTTTTTAAAAATATGGTCACACTCGTCCCTCACCAGTTGGCCCGACCCACCAATCCATTTGAAGCCCAAATACTACTTGAGCGTGGGCTCAAACCTAATTTTCTAACCTGGCCTGTCTCGAATTTTGACGAAAGGTCACGCAACCCAATAATAGGCCGGATTAGGTCAAATTTACACTCCCAAAGTAGTAAGAGGTTTGCAAAAATGGTTGGAAAATGGTGGTGAAAGAAACAACAAAATAAATACTACCATCATTTAAAAACTAATTAAAACAAAATTAGAAAAATGGGAATTGATGGGAAAAAAAAAAAAATTTGTGGAAAATTTTTGAAAGGGTAAATTACATTAACACTCATGAGGTTTGTGCTTAAAACATATCACTCCCTGATGTTTAGAAAATTATATAGACCCCTTTGTCATTATAATTATTTAGACGGAATTAACATTGGTATAAAAAATATATTAAATTCATACACTCTCTCTTTTCTTACTTTATTTTACTTCTTTTGTTTTGTTTTTTTTCTTTTCTTTTACTTTGTTTTCTTTTTTTTTTTAATATAATTTTCTCTATTTTTCTACCAGGAGTTGTTGCGTTATATATAAGTAAGGAGTTTGTGAAGTGATATTATTAATCATAGGGGTAGGAATGTAACTTTCCAAATGTCAAGGGGTGAGATGTATTAAACCCAAACCGCAAGAGGTGTTAGTGTAATTTGCCATTTTTTAAAATATAGAAAATTACTCTTTTACCCTTAACTTCTTTTCCAACCACCAACCACCAACCACCCCTCATGTTCTTTCCCCAATCACTTCCTCACCTTCTTCTATCCATCCTCAACCTCTTTTCTTAGTGGCACTAACAATTTTCTCCTTCTTTCCAAACTCTTACCCTCATTTTAATTTCTCTTTCATCTTAGCTCATTCAACGGTCACCACCATGGGTGCAGTATCGGCCTTGGGCTAAGGTCATTGAAGCTTGTGCCTTAGGCTCTAAAAAATTAGCCCAAAATAGAGTCCTCAAATTTAGTAAAGTGTTATATAGCATATTACAAATTTAAATAGGTTCAAATTGTTTTTGTTATTTTAGGGCCAATTTAAAGGGTTCCGAAATATTCTGTTAGGCCATATTTATTTATAAATGTGGTTTGACCCAATTAAAATTAGAATATATACAAAATTATTTATGACCTTGAATGAGATGAACACTACATACACATACACTGAGCTCTCAATCTCTCTCTCTCTCTCTGTCTCTCGTGCTCGCGCGAAGGAAGCAGACTAAGCAAGTACTAAGCTAAGCAAGTAGCAGCCAGAAATTGGAAATTATGACCCAAGTACTGAGCAAAGCAAGCAGACCAAGCACTAATCTCTCAAATCTCGCTCTGTCACAAGAAGTTCACTCTCTCTCTCTCTCTCTCTCTCTCTCTTTATCATATTTTAATGGAATAAATAAATTTGACCTAATTTTTTTTTATCTTATTTCTTTATCAGATTTTAGTAGAATAAATAAATTTGTCGTATTTTTTTTAAAACCTTTTTCTTTATCAGATTTTAGTGGAATAAATAATTTTTTCCTAATTTTTTTATCTAGGTCTTTATCAGTTTTAATTGAATAATTTTTTCCTAAGTTTTTTTCCCTAAATTTGTTTCATTAAATTGTTTTTTATAATTTCTTTGCTATTAGATATGAGATAATCAGTGGATTGTAATTTGTGGATTGAATTGTGATTATAGTCATGTTTCCTAGGAAGTACAGTTTTGGAAATGAAAAGAGAAAAAGTAAGCTGAAAGTAGGACAATTAATTCAATCTCAATCGGGAGCACTTAGGGCAAAATTTTCCCTAATTTATTCCATTTATCAGATTTTTAGTGGAATAAATAATTTTATCCTAATTTTTTTTTACCTAAGTCTATATCAGTTTTAATTGAATAATTTTTTCCTAATTTTTTGCCCTACTTTTGTTTCATTAAATTGTGTTTCATAATCTATGTGTTATCATATATGAGTTAATTTGTAGATTGTATTATGATTATATAGTATGTTTCCTAGGAAGTATAATTCTAGAAATGAAAAGAGAAAGAAGAAGCTGAAAGTAGAACAATTGATTCAATCTCAATCACACTCATAAACAACATATTGAATAAATAACAATTAGCCTGTTTGTTTTCATTTTTCAAAAAATGCTTTTTAGAAAATTCTACTTTCTTATTTTTCGCATTTTTTTGTTTTTACTGAATTTTTTTTAATATTTTAAGCAAATTTTTTTACTTTTTAGACACACCTAACATAAATACACTTAAAAAGTAAAAAAATTGTAAAAAAAATCTTTTAAAAATTCACTAAATACCAAAAATACAAAAAAAAAATACAAGAACTTCGTACATTTTTTTGTATTTTTATGTATTTATTAATTTTTTAAAATATTTTTTCACAAATTTTTTACTTTTTAGATACATCTAAGTAAGGTGCATCTAAAAAAGAAAAAAAATGTTTAAAATTTTAAAAATATTCACTAAAAACAAAAAAATACAAAAACCAAAAAACTCAATTTTCAAAAAATTTAATCAAGAAAACTCAAACCAAACAAACCACACTCATAAACAACACATTCAGTAAACAACAATTAATTCAACACATATCTAATACATTTTAATTGAATAAAATTTTTCTAATTTTCGTAATTTTTTTTCTTTTAGAACTCTAGAATGAATACATTTTGATATCTATTTTAATATCAATCGACGGTAATGATACTAAATAGAGTTTTTTTTTTTCTTTATAAATTATCAATTGACGGTAATGATACTAAATAGAGTTTTTTTTTTTTCTTTATAAATATAGGTCTCCATATTAGTTTCGCCGTAGGTCCCGAAAAATTAGGGCCGGAGGGGTAGGCAAGAGCTAAAGTGTCTCACCAACTTTTAAATTAAAAAAAAAAAAATTTGTTTGAATAATAAGTTTCGATTTTCATTTTCTTCATCCTACTCCTTTGCACATAAAATTATATTGTGCATGTTTAGTTTTACTTGTTGCAAACTATAAATTGACAATAAGAAAATATGATTTTTTTAAAAAAAATTTCTTACAATTTTAATAATAATTTTCAAATTTATTTTAATTATTTTCAAATAGCAGGTATAAATTGTACGAAAGAATAGGATACAAATTCTCAAATAAAAAAGAGAAATAAACAACCTTAATAAATTACACCACACAGGGCATCAGCCTAACTGGAGTGTAAAGCTATCCCCATGGCCTTTTCGTCCTATTGTTGTTATATGATTATTGGTAAAAGGCACTATAGCCCGTTTGTTTTTGGAAATAGAAAGGAAGGAGTTGACAGTGAGAAAATTAATAAAATTATATTTGTTTTTATGATAATTGTTAGTATAGGAATTGTTAAATTATATTTATATAAAATAAATATAAAATATTAAAACAAATAAAATTATGATTTTTACTTAACAAAAAATTGTAAAAATATTAATCATTAATGTTCAAAAAAAATGCCAACAAGTAAAAAAAAAATTTAAAAATATTTTTGCACTTGGCCGGTTGATTAGCCAGTTGACTGACTGAACGACCGGTAGCACCTTAAGCCGAACGAATTATTTTTTAATACCATATCTCAACCCAGACTGTTAATACCCTCACCCAAGGCGTTTCATAGTCTGAAGGGACTATCAATCTAGAGCACCATAAACTAAACAAACATAATTTATATGCATTGTTCATCACTAGAAGTCCGGAGTGAACTCCTACAACAGAAAACAATCGGGGCCTATAAAAATTCATTTTATTAAAAACAATTTTGTTCTATTTGACAAGCTCATTTTTCTGTTAAAAAAAAACAACTTCAATCGCTTTAAAAGATTATTAAAAAAATCAAAAAAATAAAAAAATATATCAAAAGAAATTGTCTTTTTAACCAACTAATAAATAAAACCCAAGCCTTTTTCTATCAAAGACAAGAAGTCAACTTGATACAATTCTCAACAAAAGCCCACCTAGATGCGTGGTTGCAAAAAACCATGTCTTATATTCTTCAACAAAGTGCCCAAGATGTGGGAAAATCTATCTTTTGAGGCTTTCTCAAAGGCAACATTAACAGCCAATTATCTTGATTGAAACCAAAAAATAAAAAATAAAAATAAAAACACAAACAAACACTCAACAAAAAACCCACTAAAAAACAATTGCCAAACCAAATATATAAACTACTAATGTCTCCAAGTGTATAAATATATATAGCAAATAATACAAATACAAATAGATCAACCCAAACTCAACATACATTAAAAAGATTCCATTCATGAACATTACTATAAAATAGGAAATTGCAATGTCATGTTGATTTTGTCCTGCAAATGCTGTTCTCATTTAAGCACTCTCATTGACAAATGTGTGCTCCCTCCACCCCTGAAGCCATTGGGGTTACTCTTTTCACATCCCTCAAAAAAAGTGCGTAGTGAGTGAGTGAGTGAGTGAGCGAGTGAGCCTGGAAAGCCAAATTCAAACTTTTCATCGTCAAGGGCTGTTTCTGCGGATTCGGAGTTCTTGTGAGTCCCCACCGCTCGAAGGGGAAGGACGGGTTGCGAACTCTCCAGTGACACCGTGCTCACTGCTTGTGAATTCCTGGCTCGACGTTACCCCCTTCCTAACCCTCCTCATCTCAGCATTGTATGAACTGTCGTACTCACTGCCGCTTGAGCTGAAGATTGTGCTGTGGCCTGGTTTCACACCTTCATGGAGGTCCTCTAACGAGACATCGCCTTCCAGCGCACGTACAATCTGTGTAACATTCAGTTCAGTAATTTAGCTTCTGAACAAAACTAGTAAAATTTCACTATATCAAACTAAAATCAAATTAAATACATGTAGTTCATTGTATATATCTTTTAAGCTTGATTTTATTAATTTAATTAATTCACACAAAAATTGATGAAGTTTTAGTCTTGGGTAAACAATAGGTCAGAGGCATGTCTCAAAAAGCAACATCAAGGAAGAACTATTTCCAATGGAAAAAGCTTGAAAATAACAGTATAGAGCTTAATGAAATTTAAACAATAATTGATCTTTCATTTCTGCCAGAAAGCTTGTGGTTTCTGTTCTGTGTGCCCTTTCATTTATTTCACTACTTAAAATTGAGTATGATCTATAAATTTGGTTGAGAGTTCAAAATATTGTTAAAATTCGATCATGAGCCTCAAACTCGAGTGCTGAGCTAATATAACCACTAGGATTCTAGTGTTTTTCTACTACACCTTTGCTAATGTTTGCTTATAAACAAAGCATGATTTTTACCTCAACAATGCTAGAGACAAAGAACTAAGGCCTCGTTTGGGAACATGCTAATTTAGTAATTTTTTAGTTATTTGACTAAAAATATAGGTAAAAAAAACTTGTATATTTGGGATGACTTTTTGGCTAATTACGAAAAGATGTGCAAAAAGTAGAGAGAAAAGATAATCTTTGACTTTTTGGTATGCGTTGTTGGCTTTTTGGCTAATTTAGTAACTTTTTGGCTAATTAGCTAAAATAGCCTCTTGCCAAACGAGGCCTAAGTCACATAAAGTGGCACGGAATACTCACAGGGGCTCCAACGAGTATTCTGTGGCTGAGTTTAGTAGAGCTTCATTTGGGAAAAAACCTTGATGCTGGCTTTTTTGTTAGTGAACTTCTAGACTCTTTTGTTTTAGTGTGTGAATTTTACTCACTTTTTAGTCCTAGGTTAGAGGGCCTTAAAATTTTAAAAAATCAGATCAATATCTTGAACAAAATTGAGGTCGCAAACTTCTTTTTTTGTAAATTATTTTTTCTTTCTACCTGGCTCATCTTTGGGCGTCTCCTTGCAGAATACCTAATGCAAGCAGCAGCACATGCTACCATGCGCAGCATCTCCTGGGGATTGTAGTCATTCTCCAAGCGTGGATCTACCAGCTCTTCAAAGTTTCCACCTTCTGTTGCATGGTTTAAAATTGGCCTTGCCTGTTCATTTCATGCAATAAAACCATCCAACAAACAATACAAAATGTATCAATAAAAAGCGTACTCCATATCAAAGATGCAATCTTCTTCATATATATATAATATTGCTTGTTAATCAAAGTTGGGGACATTCTAACCCAGTCTACTAAGCTGTCATCATCGGTGCGGATATCCACAGGGCGTCGTCCAGTAATGAGTTCCAAAAGCACAATACCATATGAATAAACATCGGATTTCTCAGTTAGCTTCCCACTTGATGCATACTCCGGTGCCAAGTACCTGCATTAATTCCCATATTTAAGGGAAATCCCAAATAAATTCATTTGCAATAGCTTACAAAAAGTTCAATTGTACATGAAGGAAACACAAAAAAGATAAGGCGGTGAGTTGATCACCACATATGAACCCCACTTCCTGTTTCTAATTTGTGAAACTTTTTGTATTTTATTTCTATATTATGTTTTATTATATGTGACATAAAAGGAATTTTGAAGTTTAAAACCCAAAGAAAAGCAAGAACTAGAGAGTTTGCTTACCCAAAAGTTCCCATAATACGCGTTGACACGTGTGTGTAGTTGTCATTAGAGAGTTTAGCCAATCCAAAATCCGCCACCTGAATAAGTAAGCATTTCAATATCATCAATTAACTTTGAACAAACGTAACATATTCTTCTCATGAAATATAAAATAAATAAATAAATTTAAGGCAAAAAAATAATTGTCTGATCATAAAATGAACATTAATGCTAACGATGCTTGGATTAAAGGGTAAAAATACCTTGGCTTCAAAGTTGTAATCAAGGAGGATATTAGCAGCTTTGATGTCTCGGTGGATTATGCGAGGGTGGCCTGCATATGGAATATCATATCATTAGAAGAGAGGGAGAAAAAGGTGAGAGGAGAGAGATATTTATATAATCAGTTTTTCTATATATATAGAATTTGGTAACAGAATTAAACACAAGCCTCACATTGACATTCGCACATTTGGAAAGTACTATCTATATGAAAGGATTGTATCTAATTCTGTAATATAATTATGTCTATTTATAATTTTTCTTATACGATACAAATCACTTACAATCTTCATGAAGATAAGCGAACCCTTTGGCTGATCCTAACGCAATTTTGAGCCGCGTTGAGAAGTCCATAGCCGGTATACCATTCCCTGCAATTTTAACATTAGGTTAATACTTCGAAAATTTTTATACACAATCCGCCATTATAATATTGCGATAGTGACAGTTTTATAATTAAAAACCATATCCTAAATAAAATTTTTATTTACAATAACATGTTAAATGAAATTTAAATCAATGGGGCTAGCTTGTTGGCCAGAAAGTTTGAGGCCTGTTTTGATCATCAGGATTAATAGGGAGGGATTAACAATTCACGGAATTATCCAGCTCAATTAGTCATAAATAATTTGTTGTTCACATTTGTTTTGCAATGGATATAGAAAAATATAATTCCAATTATATGTTTGTTTTAATTCTAAGATTAAAAATATGACCAAACAATGTATTGTGAGTCCTTGGATCAATAATCTCAATACTATACTATAATCTGCCCAATTAAACAAGCCTCAAATCTTCCCATCTCCATGTAAATTTTATTCCCCGAATATAATTAAGGGTTGTATTTGATCTTTTATCATTACTCCATCAGGAAAGACTAAAGCCTTGTGAACAGGCTATTTTATTTTAGTAACTTTCTAACTTTTTACAAAAAGATACATAGAAAAGTAGAGAAAGTAATATGACAAGTTGTAGTAACTTTTTGACTTTTTTAGCTAAAATATGTAATTGACAAATGATGCATTTTATAATTACAAAAAAAAAAAAAATTTATACATTTTGAGTCATGATTAAAAAAAAATAAAAAAATAAAAATCATAATCAAACTCATAACTAAAATTTCAAAATAATGTCAGAAAAATATTGATCATAATTAAATAAAAAAATAAGAGTTGATATGATATGATATAATAGAATTCTCCTACCCTAACATATTAAATTTCATTATAAAATCATATACTAATCCAAAAAATATATATATATATATATTATTTAAAGGGGAGAATGAAACATACCATAAAGATGATGTTCAAGTGAACTATTAGGAACAAATTCATAAACCAACATCCTCTGAGTATCCGCCATACAATACCCAACAAGCGAAACAAGGTGCCGATGATGAACTCGGCTAATAATATCAACCTCAGCCTGAAACTCCCTCTCTCCTTGTCCACTCCCAGATTTCAAACTCTTCACCGCAATATCTTTCCCATTAGGCAAAACCCCTTTGTGCACATACCCAAACCCGCCTTGTCCCAACAAGTTGGTCTTCGCAAAAGCACCAGTTGCGGCCGCTAGTTCGTCGTAGGTGAAGGTGCTCTTGTTGAAGCCGAGCGCGAGAGATGGGTGCGGCGGAGGGAGGGGTGGTTGGCGGGGACCGGAGAAGCCGGTGGAGCTCATCTCGCTGCTGCTCATCATTGGGGGCGGCGGTGGTGGTGGGACTGCCGGCCATTGGCCGGAATCGGCTGCGGAGCCCGGTGGTGGAGGGATTTTGACGGCGTGTTCTCCGGTGGTGGCGGGTGGGGCGGCGGTGTTGTTCCAATTCGCGTGTTGTTCGCTGTTGTAATAGTCGCTACCTGCTGCGTGTGAAAACGTTAGTTTCAATTCGACCCCAATGGCTTAGGCCTGTTTATGAATTTGTTACTTTGGTTGATTTTTTTTTTTTAAATTTTTTTTATAAAAAGAGGCGTAAAAAATAAATTGGGTAATATGACTCAGTATTTTGTATATTTTATTATTTTACTAAAAAAAAAATCATCTCAGGTCTTAAATCTAACTGTGAATTTTTTTTTTTTTTTTTCCATGATACATAGCATTACTCATTAAGAAAAGTAATTATTTGAAGAATTTACTTTTTACCCTTTCATCAAAGCATAATTGAAGTGATTATATTTTTGTTTACATCGTTATTTAAGTTTAGGTGTCATAAAATATGTTAACCAATACGTAAATACATTAATCGATCACAAAAAAGATTATAACCTCTTCATAGATCTCATGTTTTTGTGATTTCAAATGAGTTGTGCCTGATTACGTTATTAGATTTTTTTTATTTTTTTATTTTTTTATGAAGTAGAAGTGGGGTGGCATAATAATACTTACTTTGTTTTCCATGAGAATTATCTCTGTAATACTTCATCTGATCATGCGGCCTTCTCTTCTTCTTCTTGCAACACGAAACGAAGAACACTACCATGATAATCAATAACAATGCCGCTCCAGCCACCACTCCTCCTATTAGCGCTTTCTCCTCTGTACTAATGCCCTTCGATCCAGATCGGTGGTGTGATAGAGGTGGCGGTGGCGAATGCCTTGATCCTTTCGAATTAGGCGGTGGAGGAGGAGGCGGAGGTGGGGGTGGAGGTGGTGGCGGCGGCGGTGGTGGCGGAGAAGAATTAGAGTTGCCATTGGAATTTGAAGAAGATGGGGGAGGAGGTGAAGAAGACTTTGAATCTTTCGATTGTGGTGGTGGTGACGAGTCACTATTTTTTGGTGGTGGTGGTGACGAGTTGTTGTCTTGCGGTGGCGGTGGTGATGACGAGTTGTTGTCTTGCGTTGGTGGTGGTGGTGACAAGTTGTCTTGCGGTGGTGGTGGTTGAGAATTTGAGGTTCCGTCATCCGGCGGCGGAGAAGACATTTTTAATGATTTTTTTGGCAATGATCTAAAAAGGCCAAATAGACCATGCCCCTCCTCCAATGCTGAACCCTAAATCAAGATTCAAGAAAAACACAAAGCAAAATATATATAAAAAAAATTATAACATATATGTACATAACATGTCATGTATATATCTCATCAGCTAGGTAGAAATGAAACAAAGAAAATGAAGCCAATAAGATAAATAGTAGGCATATCTTGTTATTCTACTAGTTATTGTTCTATGAATGTATGCATTTCTTCTTCTTCTTCTTCTATGAATTATAACATATATGTATATAACATGTCATGTATATATCTCATCAGCTAGGTAGAAATGAAACAAAGAAAATGAAGCCAATAAGATAAATAGTAGGCATATCTTGTTATTCTACTAGTTATTGTTCTATGAATGTATGCAGCATTTCTTCTTCTTCTTCTATGAAGAGAGAGAAAAATGGGAATCAAGAAAGAGAGAGAGAGGAGGTAGGTACCTTTGGAGAAGGGCGGGGATGATTCTCAAAGAAAGAAGAGAAAAGAGAGATTGCATGGTAGTTTGAACAAAGAAACGGCAAACCGTCCTTCCATGCCCTTTCACCTCCTACAAATTAGGAAGTTTAATCTATTTTTGGACAATTATTTGCAAGTCCGAAGTACCCTGTGACAATAGTGCCCCTAACTAATAATGTAACAGGAATTTTGATATTGAAATAATATTGATTCAATTTTATTTGAGTTAAGAAAAAATAAATTAATCTCTTATCAATTCTTTATTTAGGCGAATATCACGTAATTAATATTATATGATACTTTGAAAATGTCTTCTAGTTTTCCTTATGTTTGGATAAAAAAATGTTAGATGAACAAAAGTGAAAAGAAAGAAAAAAATAGAGAAAATTTAATTTATGTGGTTGAAATATATTTTAAGTGTGAATGATGTTACACATACACTCATGATGAATTAAAGACATACTGTATTTTTTGTGCACTTCTATATGCTTTTGAGTGTTTTTTTCTTTTTTTCTTTTTCTTATAGTATAATAATATTATGATGATCAACGTTAGTACATTCTGTGACGCCCAAAAAAAAAAATTTTTTTTTTTTTTTTTTTTTGAAAGTCATAAGATTTTAAATAACAATAACTTGTTAAATAAAATTTTAACTACTAGTTAGGAATTTTTAAGTTCTTACAAAGCCAAAGTCCAACGACAGAATAAAACTACAAGTTCACACACAACGTCACAACATAGTTTAATCCTAATACAAGGGATAACAGGATTTTATTCTGACAAAATATTGACTCTAAGTCAGCCAAGGTTCGATATTGGCAGCAGCTCCAATTTCAACCTCAGTCCCTTCTTTAACATAATCTGGCATGAAACGCCAGGGCAACAAAATATATGCCATGAGTTTTGCAACACAGTAAGAAAACGTAACCAACCTACCATTCTTTTTAAGAGAAAAATAATAATATTCTAAACATGAGATAACAATATAATTATACACAGAAATTACAACCATTAGAATAGTTTCAGTAATTTTAATAAATTAGGTGACACTCGAAATCTCACCAAAGAGATTTAACTCACCAAACACTAAGCATGGCAACGGTTAATTTGAAACCCTCCCTTAGTCAAATATTTAAGTGTTACCAACCGTAACTACCAGGGATGCCCACGTCCGGAGTTATATACCCAAGTAGTGGCATCCGTGGTCTGCCCCAAGGAAACGGTCTGCCAGGGGTAAGCAACCTCCCTGTGTGCCACCTGCACATCCACCCTTATTCCAAAACCGAATACCGAAAAGGGTTCAAATAAGTCCCGTGCCATCTCAGAGTTTCGCAACACAATTTACATGAGAATTCTCAAAACCAGGACTCACCCTGAACAACCGGTGTTAACCGTCAACCCTTAATTCCGTACAGTCTTTAAACCAAAGCTCACCCCGAACAACTGGTATTAACCGTCAATTGTTAACTTTGTATATGCCGTTAATCATTTCAGTTAATTTTGATATTAATCACAAACAATTCCAAATTTTTAATCACAAATAATGTTATACCAACTCATTAAAATTCCCAATCATAAAATATTGCATGGGTCACACAATACTAAATAAAAGGACAGAATTTAAATAAACAATTTATTAAAACCATGGTATAACAACCGCCCCGACCTACAAGAATTAAACCCTAAACACACACATGCACAAATTTTTGATTTACAAAATTAGACTAGCATAATATTAAAGTGGTGATTTTATCCTATCTAAAAAAAATTTCACAGTATATATCTTGCAAATAAAATTATAAATACATTACTCATACAATTCTAAAATTCATATCAATCTACAGAATAATCCATAAACATGT